AGAGAGAGAGAGAGAGAGAGAGAGTTATTCTCTCACAAACACACATCCGTCTTCTATCAACATGAGAACTTTTCACAATAAAAGCTTTTAAAGGGATGAACCTAATCTCGCTCCCTCTCGCGACATGTCACTGATTTTTGTTAAATCAAAACGTCACGAACTGGTGATTCTGGCGTGTTCATGACGTCACCGGGGATGCAGCGTGAAAAGGGAAACGTGTTAAAGAAGAAGAAGGAAAGGAAGGGGGGGGGGCGTTACAGAGTTTGATGGGAATAAAGGAAAGTGTGGAGCTAGCTGCGGCTAACTGCCGTTAGCATGCGTGAAGCCGTACAACCGGGACATTCTTACGGTTCTTGTTACCTGTCCTCAGCCCGGAGGGTCCGTTAGTCCCCGTTAAATCCTCCTGTCTGTCATTTTAAACCGTTTAACCGACAGTCGGAGGCCGAGTCTGGCCGAAGCTTCTACACCGTTGCTCGGTGCCCGTCACAGCATCAGACCGGTGTCAAGCTAACGGAAGTCCTCTTCTTCTTCTTTGGTGCCTATTGGTGTTTGGAAAACTACGAATCGGAGCACTAGCGCCACCAGGTGGTTTGAGCTGGTGGCGGTAATGCTTCAGTGCTCCTCTTCTCTTCCTGTTTTCCTCGTTCCTCCAACTTCTCTCTGAAATCAAACCTCCTCTCTGTCCTACTTCTCTAATTCTCTCACTGTTTTTCTCGATCTTCTAACTTCTTAACTTCTCTCTGAACTAAAACCTCTGTCTGTCTGTGATCAGTAGTGGGTTAAGGGGTCAGGGTGGTTTTTTTCCATCCAATCAGGGAGCAGCTTTTCTCAGTAACTGACCTTCGATCACTTTGCACTTTCACCTGCAGCGACAGAAAATCACTAATGAACATCAAACAGGATCTTTTTCATCTTTTCACTCATGATGCAGGTTTTCCTGCCTCTTCTTTTTTCCCCTGCCGTCCTTGTGTGGGTCCATCAGCTCGCTCCGGCTGATGGCGGCCATGTCCTGGTGTTTCCAGGTGAGTATAGCCATTGGTTGAACATGCGGAACATCATGGACGAGCTGGTGAGGCGGAACCACTCCGTCACCGTTTTGGTTTCTGAAGCGTCGCCGTCCGTCGATTACAACAACAGTCGCTATAGTGCCAAGTTCAACTTCCTGGTTTACAAGGTGATGTCAGGTTCAGTAGAGTTACATGGATTTTCAAAGACTTCAAACTTTTAATGACATAACTTCTAGTAACTTTTTATAACTTGACTCTGACTTTTAATTGCTGTTAAGTTTCAATGACTTTTAAAAACGGGTGTTTCTTGTTTTCCAGGTTCCTTTTAGCAAATCTGAGATTCATGGTTTCACTGAAGAGTTAATTAACTTCTCCATGTTCGAGTTCCATCGTTCCTCGGTGCTGAAAAGGATTTTGTGGAGTCATGATTGGATGACGCGTTCCGTCGATCTCATGATTCATCAGTGTGACTCCATGTTGAAGAACGAGCAGCTGATGGCGACTCTGCGGGACTCTGCTTTCGATGCTGTCCTGCTCGACCCAATGGTTATTTGCGGTGACCTGGTGGCCGACATACTTGACCTGCCACTCATCGTCTCGCTGCGTTTCTCATTCGGTAGTGTCATGGAGCGACACTGTGGCCACGCGCCAGCTCCTCCGTCATACGTCCCTGTCGCTCCGCTGCCGTACAGTGACCGCATGACGTTTTTGGAGAGACTGATCAACACAGTGATGTATGTCTCTCTGTCTGTGATCACGGAGGCGTTCTGGAGGCTAAAGGTGGATAAGTACTACACCGAGGTCAAAGGTCAGTGTGAAGTCAAAGGTCAGCTGTTTCCAGAGTATGTTGACCTGACTCTTCAAATTAAAAGCCCAGCAAAGCTGTTTCCTGCATGTGTGTGCTGACAGGAAGTCCCAGCAGCTATTGTGGGACTCTCGGAAAAGCCGACATGTGGTTCATCAGGACTTTCTGGGACATGGAGATGCCACGGCCGATCCCGCCAAACTTCAAATATGTGGGCGGTCTGCACTGCAAACCGGCCGATCAGCTGCCAGCAGACATGGAGGAGTTTGTGCAGAGTTCGGGTGATGCTGGTGTGGTGGTGGTTTCCTTTGGCTCCATGGTAACAAACTTCACGTCAGAAAGTGCTGATGTCATCGCTGCTGCCCTCGGAAAGATCCCACATAAAGTAAGAGCCCAAGAGTCTCCGCCCACTCAGACACACTGACTTAAGCTTTCAGAGATGCCCTGAACTCCGGAGATCCTCCGCAGATTCTCAGGAGGAGGCGCGTGTAAACACAAATGTCAGAGTGTGAGGCTCCGGACCTCCTGCCTCCTTTCTCTGCCTGGCCTTTTAGTATGAAGTCTGTGGACGTGAGAACCCTGCAGGGTTGTGAAATGCTACATGAGGTAAAACCAGACGATGACGATCTCATTCTCACGTTATCATGTCACGAGGCGCCACAGTAGTTCGACTTCATTTGTTCTTGTTTCTCTTCAATGTAGTAATTTATACAGTTCTTTAAAATTCAAATCAAATTAAAATATTAAATTTATTTCATTAAAATTCATTCTGAAACAAATTTGTTAAAATTTTAATCATTAACTGGTTGATTTTCCTCTTTTTTTCAGGTGATTTGGAAATACACCGGAAAAAGACCAACAACTCTGATGTCAAACACAAAACTTTACGACTGGATTCCTCAGAACGACCTGCTGGGTAACACACACACACACACACACACACAC